TTTTGATTTATTGTAGAGATGAGGTCTTGCTGCCCAGGCGGGTCTCGAACCCGCAGGCTCAGGCAATCCACTCACCTCAGCCTCCCAAAGGTGCGGGATTACAGACTGAGCCACTGAACCCGGCTAAATATTTTTCTATATACATAAATTCATACACATATATTGAGTTCAGGTATTTTTACATATAATTGGGAGCATAATATATATTCTTTTATTTTTTATTTTTTTTTGAGTTGGAGTCTCACTTTGTCGCCCAGACTGGAGTGCAGTGGCCGCTCCCGGCCACTGCAGCCTCGACCTGCTGGGCTCCGGCGATCCTTCCGCTTCAGCCTTCCGAGTAGCCGGAATTATAGGCATGTGCTACCACGCCCAGCTGATTTTTTTTTTATTTATTGTAGAGATGTCTCGCTGCCCAGGCGGGTCTCGAACCCGCGGGCTCAGGCAATCCACTCACCTCAGCCTCCCAAAGGCACGGGATTACAGGCTGAGCCACCGAGCCTGGCTCATAATATATATTCTGTTGGTCCATCAGTTATTCTTAACTACAACAAAGTGCAAAGTACCATATTATATTAAACCATGCCCTTTTCTTTTTTCTTTTTTTTTGAGTTGAAGTCTCTGTTGGCCAGGCTGGAGTGCAATGGCACGATCATGGCTCCCTGTACCCTCAACCTTCTGGGATCAGGCGATCCTTCTTCCTCAGCCTACCAAGTAGCTGAACACCACCATGCCCAGCTAATTTTGTTTATTTATTTATTTACTTATTTATTTTTGTAGAGACTAGGTTTTGCTATGTTGCCCAGGTTGGTCTTGTCCTCCTGGGCTCAACTAATTCTCCTGCCTCAGCCTCTCAAAGTGCTGGAATTACAAGCATGAGCCCCATGCATGGCCAACCATGTCCTGCTGCTGGTCTTATAAGAGATTATCAGTGTTCAGTACTTTAGTCACAAACAGTGCTGTAAAGAACATTCTTGTGAATATATCTTTGTGCTCATGTTTAATTATTTCTCAAGGATAGATCCCTGTAAGTGGGATACTTGGTCAATGACTACACATTTTCACCTTTAATTGCTATTATCCCCTAAAAAATCTGTACTACATTACATTCAGATAATAATGAAAGAAATAATGTTTCCTTACACCTTAATAAAAATGCATATAATCATCTTTTAAAATGTGGACTAACCAAATAGGAAAATAATGAGTTCCTGCAGATATTTTGATTTGCCATCCATGACTTCTGATGCATTACTCTGAGAAGTGGCATGCACTTAATTTGAATTTTAGTAATGCTGAGTTACTTTTCTTTCTCCTCTAGGCCATATTTATTTGCCCAGTGTTATTTGGATATGGTTTTGATTCCCCTCTGACTCCTAAAAATCATTATTTTCCAGTTTTCTTTTTGGATCATTTCCACTTTTCTATTTTTGTCTTCATCCTTCTTGATAGATAGTATAGAGAGGTCTTCCTCAGGCCTGCTTGCCTTCACCTCTAGCAGCTGATTCATTTAACATAAATAGCTAGATATTGCTTCTGGCAAGAACACAAGCTGAGGACACTCCCTGAAGGGCCAAAGGAATAATCACCTCACCTATTCCTCTTGCTTTTGGTTCGTTCCAAACACTTTGTTATTAAGTGTAGGAAAAGTTATTTTCTTCTTTATATTACGGGTGCTTTTGAAACTTTTCCACTAAATTGTTCCTATAAGCAGAAAAGAGTGAACTTGAAAATAATGATTTGTTTTTCTTATTCTAAACCTCTGAGTAAAATTAAAGGTACAGGAACATTTGTTATTTTCTTTTGTCAGTTCTTTTACTCTCTGACACAGAATATCCCAGTTAAAAAGCACTACTTAAGTTGAATAAAGATAAAAATCATGATTAATTCAGTTCAATTTTACAAAAATGTATATATTGAATGCTAAAGCTCAATTTAGCTACTACAGTCATCCCTTGGTGTCCTTGGGAGATTGATTCCAGGACCCCTGCAGAGAGCAAAATCCTTGGATGCTCAAGTCATTTATATAAAATGGTGTGGTATCTGTATATAACCCCCACACACTAAATTATCTCTAGATTCCTTATATTACCTAATACAATGTAAATGCTATGTAAATTGTATGTAAACTGTATTTTAAAGAAATAACAGTAAGAAAAATTACCTGTACATAGTCCATAGAGATGTAACCATCTTTTTTAAAAAACATATTTTAGATCTGCGTTTGGCTGTATTTGCAGAACCCATGGATATAGAGGGTGGTGTGTATATAGGAAGTGGGGGGAAAGTTTTGCCTTTTGATATCATAGACTCCCTGAAAAGATCTCAGGGACTTCTAGTGGTCATAGACTACACTTTGAGAACTACTAATCTAGAACAATGGCTTTCCATCTGTCTGAACATGAAGGGTATCCTCAATCTCAGCCTCAGAAATTTTGATCCAATTTGTTTGGGGTAGGCCTAGTCACTGATATTTTATAAAAACTCCCTCGGTTATTTTAACATGGAGCAAGAGTTCAAAATTACTGATATAAAACATTGCACAATGTTTTTCATTTATAACTCAGAATATATTTTGAGACTGTACTGAAATATCTGCAAGCACAAAAACATTTAAAATACAATCAAATTAGGTATCACAGTATTATGCCACAATATGTAGATAAGAGGTTTTTGTGGAGGTCAGGCCAGAACAATTTCAAGACCCTCTTTCTCAAAGTTACTGACACCATAAGGATATTTTGGAACTTCATTTTCATTAAATACAGACCAATAGCATCTATCTGTCTATTTAGCTATCTTCTATTATCTATCATCTGTATATAGCCTATCATCCATCTAATTATTTGTCTTTGTGTATATTTATGCATATATGTATGCATATATACGCATACATATAAAACTAATGGAACAGAATATTTAAATCTAATAGTGAAATGTTGGTTTATATGTTTTCATATACTTACAGAAAAATGAATTGATATTATAAGATGTTTTTCCTGGTCATTATGAAACTCCCTCCTACATTTTCTGAGGTGAACCCATTTCAGAGGATAAATCACTAGAAATATATTAGACCATCAGGGAATAGAAAGGAGAACAATAGCAGAAGAGTTAGGATTTACTATGTAGTAGTTTTTTCAACTTTTGAGTATGGTAGGGGACAGAATTGCTACTGAGCTCTTATTTTCCACATTTTCCTTGAAAAATCTATTAGCTGTGAGACTTTCAAGAGCAAAGAGAGAACCAGGGATGGAGTTCTTGATAAGAGTATGATTAAGATGCAGATTCTTACAGTTAATACTTTTGCCTTGGTAGATGTAAAATATAAGCAGTATGCTAAAAAAAAGAAAATCAGTTTACATAGTCCTTCACTGATAAGTCATAATGTTCTTATTTATTACATTGTTGGTAATTCTTTGGTTTTAAAAATAAAATGTGGAATCTGTGATAACTCCATTTTAAGTAATTTAATATTAATGGAAATGGAGGGAGTTGTATTCTGGTTGTTGTTATCATTTTTAATTAAAAAAGAATTAGAATGCAACATAGGCCTAAATATAAAACATAAAACTATAACATCTCTAGATAAAAGCATAGGAGAAAATCTTCATGACCTTGGGATAGGCAAAAATTTCATAGGTGAGACACAAAAAGAGCTAATTATAAAGTTAAAAATGATAAATTGGATCTTACTAAAACTAAAACTTCTGATCTTCAAAAACCCTCTTAAATAAAACAAAAGGTAAGCCATAAATTGGGAGGGAATATTCACAATCTGTGTACCTGACAAAGGATTTTATTCATAATATACAAACTCAGTAATAAGAAGACAAATAACACAATTAAATAATAAGCAGAAGATTTGAGCAGATACTTCCCAAAAGAAGATACATGAGCTGGCAAGGTGGCATGAGCTTGTAATCCCGGCTACTCTGGAAGCAGAGATAGGAGGATTGCTTGAGCCCAGGTGTTTAAGACCAGTCTGGACAACAAAATGAGACTTCTAAAAAAAAAAAATGTATGTATGCTAATAAGCATTGGCAAAGATTTGTAACATTATTCATCATCAGGAAAATGCAACTTAGAGTCATATATGACTACATACCCACTAGACTGGCTATCATAAAAAAATAAGCAAGTGTTAGCAAGAATGCACCTGAAATTCTCATACATTGCTGGTGGAAAGAGAAATAAGTTTCTTGTAAGGTTAAATAAATATACAACTACCATTAGATCTAGTCATCCCACTTTTAGGTATTTTCCCAAGAGAAATGAAAGCATATGACCACAAATACTTATATGTGAATACTCACAGCAGGTTTATTTGTAAAAGTCCCAAACCACAAATGACTCAAATGTCCATGAACGACTGAAAGCATAAACAAAATAAAATACTACTTATATAGCATATATGAAAAATAGACTAATATATACAACTGCATAGATAAATAACACATTATGTTGAGTTAAAGAAGTCAGACACAAAAGAATACACACTTTATGCTTTCATTTAAATATAATTCTAGAACAGGCACTTATCTATAGTGATGGAAAGCAAAATAATGGTTGTCTGGAGCTGGGAACCAGAGAAAGAGGCCAAGGAAACTTTTTGGGGTGATGGAAAAATTCTGTAATTTGATTATGATGATGGTCATACAGGGATGAATTCATTTGTTAACATGCATTAAAGTTACACTTAAAATTAGTGTTTTTTATTGGATATACATATGTTTCGATTTAAAATAAACACATTTATTAAGTAATAATTGTTACAGAAGTATAGAGATCATTAAGAACTGGCAGTTTAGAATGCAGAAATGGCTGAATGCGGGGTGGGGGCGGTGGTGAACAAAAGCAGCTGAAGACAGTGGGAGGATAACACTGGTCTGGGAGTCAGATAATCCAGCTTTGAGGATGCTTCCTCTCATCTAAATTTTAGTATGGATTGGAAGGAGCTGAAAGATGTTTCCCTCTCTGTTAAAGGTCAGAGAGTAATCAGGAACCAGATAAAAAGAGAACCATTGTGTGTATAGTCAGAAGGCAACTTAAAAAACTTTCTATTAAGTTGCAAACAGACTCAGTGGATACTCAAAGAATGTTTGGCACTAAGCTGCTTTGAAATGCTATCAGAGGCTTCTCAGTCTAAGAAAGGCTTCAGAGTGGATCTGAGGATTTCTTTCTCTTTGGCCAGAGAAAAGGCCAGAGATAGTCTAAAAGCCTAATGCTAAAGCTAAAAAAAGCATGCTGCTGTTTTTATTTCTTTGATTTTTGCCCAAAATAGTGTCACTTTTAATAAAATTAACAGATGTATAATCGTTTGATTTTTATTGCATACTTTCCCTTTTTAGAGCATAAGATTGCTCAGATTATTTCAGTTCTCCATTGGAAAGCCACTCCTTTTTCTGCCTCTTATTTATTTATCTTTTTATTTTGAGATAATTGAGATTCACATGCAGTTATAAAAAATGGAGAATGTTTCTATACATCCATCACTCAGTTTTCTCTCAATGCTAACATTTTGCATAACTACAAGGGATGACCCCCCCAAAAAAACAGAATTATCTTTTGGAGAGCAGGACTCTTGTAGTACACTTGAAATTTGTTTTTCTGGATCAAATGGTCAAGCAAAGTTTTTACCTCAAAGTTTAGAGAAGATTGTGTCACTATGAAGAAACATCCTAAGATGCAGCAAACAAGTGAATGGTTTTCCCACCATGACAAGGCACCTGCCAACACCGTGCTGAATGTTCAGGAGTTCTTGACCCAAAACGGCATGACTCCCATACCCCACCCTCCCTATTTACCCAATCTCACCCCGAGTGACTTTTTTTCACCCTGGATGAAAAAAAGTCCTCAAAGGGAAATGTTTTGCTGATGTGGAAGAGGTGAAGCAAAAAGGCATCAAAATTGATGGGTTCGGAAACTATTTTGAGCAGTGGAAATAGCTTCTCGATAGGTGTCTTGTGTCAAATGGAGAGTACTTAGAAGGTGACTGAAGTTTAAACAGGTAAGAATAAATACACAATTTTTTATAATTAAATTCTGTTTTGGGGGGTCCTCCTTATATAGTATAATATCACAACTGGAAAATTGATCATTAAAATCCGTTGATGTTATTCATATTTCACCAGTTTTACACACATTTGTTTGAGTGTGTGTGTATGTATTTAGTTCTGTGCAGTTTTATCACGTGTAGATTCATGTGATCGCCAACAGAGTCAAGATCTAGGACACAATCCCATCACCATTAGAATCATCTATGCCACCGTACATAACTACATTCTCTTCCCTCCCTCTCACTCTTATCTCTTGCCCCTGAAAACCACCAATCAATTTCCCATTTCTAGAATGTTATCCTTTAATAAATATTATGCGCAACCTCTTGGGATTGTTTTTTTGTTATTCAACATTATTCCCTTGGAGTCATCCAAATTATGGTTATAAATAATTTACTCCTTTTTATTGCTGGAGTGTTATTTCATGGGTTATATGTGACTATACCACAGTTGGTTAACTAGTCACCCATTGTAGGATTATCTGGGATATTTCCAATATTTTACTGCTATGAAAAACTCTGTTATAGACATTTCTGTGTAAGTTCTGGTGTAAATATTAATTTCTGTTTCTCTGAGATAAATGCTGGAGAATACAATTGCGAGTTGTATGGCTACTCCATGCTTAGTTTTTAAAGAAAGCTGCCAAATTACTTTCCAATGTGGCTGTATCACGTACATTTTCATCAGCAATGCATGGATGATTCCATTTCTTTACATCATTCCCAACATTTGGTGTTGTATTTATTTATTTAGAGCATTCTAATAGCTAGTTGTGGCTTAATTCACACTTCCCTAATTATATATGAAGCTGAAAATCTTTTTATGTGCATATTTGCCATCTGTATATCCTCTTCAGTGACATGTATGTGCATGTCAATTTTCTAATTGAATTATTTGTTTTGTTACTATTGAACATGGAGAATTCTTTATATATTCTAGATACTAGTCCTTTGGAAGATGCATGACTTGCACATATTTACTTTCAGTCTTTCAGTTACCCTCTTTATCCTCTTAACAGGTTATTTTGCAAAACAGGAGTTTTTAATTTTAATGAGGTATAATTCATCAACTTTTCCTTTCATAAATTATGCTTTTGATGATATCTAAGAATTCTCTGCCTAGTCCTAGATCATGAAGAATTTTTTTCTGTTTTTTTAAAAAAAGGTTTATTGTTTTATATTTTTCGTTTAAGTCCATTATCAATTTGGAGTTAATTTTTGTATAATATGTGAGGTTAAGGTTGAAATTTTTTTCTGCTCAATGACCGCTTACTGTTCCAGCACTATTAGTTGGAAGGCTACCCTTCCTTTGTTGAATTACTCTTGTACTTTTGCCACAAATCAATTGAAAAAAAATCAGTTGGAAATATTTGTGTGGATATATTTCTGTGCTTTCTATTCAGTTCCATTAATCTCTGGGTCTATCTCTGCCAATATCACACAGTCTTGATTACTGTCACTGTCACAAACTTTAATATCAAGTAGAGTGATTCCTCTCATTTTATTATTTTTGGATTGTCAAAGATACTCTAGGGTTTGCATTTTTCATATACATTTTAGAATCTGCTAGCCAGTACCTAAAAAAGAAAACTTACTTGGATTTTGATAATAATTGTCTTACACCTACAGATCAATTTGGGTCAAACTGACATCGTTACTATGTTGAGTTTTCCAACCTTTGAGTAAGGTATGTCTCACTGTTTATTTAGATCATCACTGACTTCTTTCATCAGGATTTGCAATTTTCAGTATAGAGATAGTATACATGTTTTGCTAAATTTATACCTGATTCTTTCATTTTCTTTGGATTGATTGTAAATGGATGTTTTAATTATGGCTTTCATATGTTCATTGTTACTACAATGAGTCCTCACTTAATGTCATTGGGAGGTCTTAGAAACTGGAATAACATCATTTTGTTCAATGTTGTTTCATTATAACTTTTGGTGAGAAAAAAATAGCTTACTTCCTTATTATTTGGTTTAAAGTTGCAGTTTCCAAGAACCAATTGATAATGCTAAGTGAGGACTTACTGCATATAGAAATAACACTGATTTTTGTATTGATCTTATATTCTGTGACCTTACTAAAATCACTTTTTAGATCCCAGGACTTTTATTTTTGTATGATTCATTGGATGTACTAAATACACAATCATGCCATTTGCAAATAAGGGCAGTTTTATGAATTTTTTTTGAATTTGTATGCCTTTCATTTCTTTTTTATTTTCATTATTTTAATAGCTTTAGAGGCATAAATGGTTTTTGGTGTATGGCTGTTTTACATAGTGGTGAAGAAGTCTGGTTTTAAGTATACCTGTTACAGCGTATACACTGTACCCAATAGGTAATTTTTCATTCCCCTCCTTCTTATCCTCCATCTTCTGAGGCTCCAATGTCCTTTATGCCATTCCATATACCTTTTCAGACCCTTAGTTTAGCTTCCACTATAAGAAAGAACATGCGATATTTATTTTTTTGTTCCTTCATTTCTTCACTTAGGATAATGGTCTCCAGTTCCATTCAAGTTGCTGCAAAAGACATTATTTAGTTTTCTTATGGCTAAATAGTATTCCATTACACACACACACACACACTCACTCACTGACACACACTCACTCACACACACTACATTTTCATTATCTACTGATCAGTTGATGGGCATTTAGGTTGATTCCACATCTTTGCAATTGTGAATTGTGCTGCTATAAACATGCGAATGTAGGTGTCTTTTTTGTATTTCTCTCTCTCTCTCTCTCTCTCTCTCTCTCTCTTTCTGCTTTATTGCTGTGGCAAGAACTTCTAGTAGTATGCTGAATAGAGTGGTAAGAATTGAATGACTGCTTTGTTTGTTATCTTAGAGGAAAGCATTCTGTCTTTCACCATTAAGAATGACAGCTGTAGTTTTTTTTTTTTTTTCTTAAATGAACTTTATTTTTTAGAGTAGTTTTAGGTTCACAGAAAAACTGAGTGGAAGGAACATATAGTCCCCATATACCTATTTTCCCCATATATGCACAGCTTCTCCCATTATTAACAACCCCACTAGAGTAGGACATTTGCTATAATTGATAAAAAATACTTCAGGTTTTTAAAACATACTCTATATTACATGCAGTAGTTTCTTTCTATTCCTAACTTGCTGAGAGTTTTTAATCACAAATGAGTATTGGAATTTGTTACGTGCTTGTTCTGTGTTAATTGATTCAATCATCTTCTTTAGCCTGCCAATTCTTCCTCCTTATCCTGTTTATTGGGGGCTTATGATGATGAGGTTTACCATAAAAATTAAGTCTTGGTGGAGAAAACCAGATGTATTTTCTTTTTTTTTATTAGAAGAAAATAAAGTTGAAAGAAATTGATTCATAATACATGGTACAGGAACTCTTTACTATACATTAAAATTGAGTGGCAGTCAGTGGAATTAAGTATGAATTCTTAATAAATAATAGTGCAGGAAAGGATACGTTTGAGTTCTGGAGCAGAGAGGAATGTATTACCTAATAAGTTACAGAAGTCGCTATTTCTAGGATTCACTATGCCTTAAGCATAATTACCTCATTTTGATAACTAGAATTATGTAAAAATACTTCTTCAACTTTGTAGGGACCTACAATCTATTCATTCTTCTTCATTTTCACTATTTTTAACCCTCCACCGTCTCATGTCCTTATTTTCCTCTCTATCCAGTATTGATTTCATGGTCCATTTTTATATTTACTTCCTTGCCAATATCCTTTATCTCCCTTGCCCCATTTTCCCTCTGTTGTAGTTGCCTAACCATTAATCTTATTAAATCCAACTCTTCAACCACTTCAGGTCTGCATATGCATGGCAGAGAATGTCTCCAGAAAAACTGTAAATTTGTGACCACTAATATCATATGGAACCAATAATCCCAAGCGTTTCATTATCTATTTTCCATTTACTCATTTTTCTTAGATTACAATATCTTATTTGTTAAACCTTTAACATCTTCTTCCTCATCTTTACTCAGCTGAGGATCTTTCCTCTTATTTTACTGAGAATATAGAAACAATTGGGAAAAAATGTTCGCAAAACACCCACTGCCACAGGAACCCACTTAACTGTCTTCCTACTGGTTCCTACAGATAAATTGTTTGTTCTCAAACTAAGACTCACCCTTTTACTTTGATAACCCTGTCCTTTCTCACTCATTCTAGGACATAATTCCAACAAATCACCCCTTTCTATCCTGCATCATCAAGATCTTCTCCTTGAATTGATCATTTTCATTAGCATATAAATATATTATAATTAACTCCCACTACTCCCTTTTTATTCTACATTTTCTAGATGATGCCCTGGAAAGATTTGTCTCTGCTCCCCACCTACTATTACTCTTTTCCAATTTGTTATTGAATCCTTTTCAACTAGGCTTCTTCCTCCAACACTCCACTGAGCCCATTTATTTTCAGATCACTAACAGCTTCCACAATTGCAAATATAATTATCAATTCTTGGACCCCATATTCTTGACTTTTAGCCATACTGATACAAAAATCTTGATCTTCTCAAGCTTGTCCCTTCCCAAGCTTTTGCTATCTTATTAATTGTGAAGCAGGTTCACTAATAACCAATCTCAAGAGAGGTCTTCCACTGGAGACTCAAGGTGGAGGAGGGACAAAAATCACCTATCAGGTACAATGTGCACAGATGTAAGTGCACCCAAACTTCTTCACCACTATACAACACAGTTATGTAACCAGAAACTATTGGTGTCCCTTAAAGCTATTGAAAGAAAGAATAAATAAATAACTAAATAAAAAAGAATATTGTATAAAATTACCTTCAGGCTATGTGTATAATGTATATATAAAACATGAATGAATTTTGTGTTTAGTCTTGGGTCCCATCCTCAAGATAGCTTATTATATTATGAAAATATTTAAAAAATATTTTAAAAATCTGAAATCCCAAGCATTTCTAGTCCAAGCATTTTGAATAAGAAATTTCCAACCTGTAGCCCAAGTTTCTGTGAGATAGATTCAGGCAAGAGAGCTAAAATATCTTTCCTAACATATCTTGGAGTCACTGTTCATCAGATATTTCTGATAGATTAATACCGCTTGAGATCTTAGTTGGTTATCATTGCCTTTTTTCCACCTAACCTTTTACTACGCAATAATAGTGGTTATTTTAATTGTCATCAAGGTAATTTGAATTTAGATCTTCTAAAATTCTTTCTCTTTTAATGGTTTCTCACATTCCTGACAAGTGCTGTATAGAGTGGCAGACTGTTGCATAGCCCTGACTTAATAAAGAAGATGGATCAGAAAATTAAAAATGTTTAAATTCACAATTCCCTTTCTTTTCATGTTTTAAGTGAGGAGTTTGAGTACTTTAGGGCAAGAAAAATTGCTGGAGGTCCGCTTCTGTTTAATTAATTTCAAGAATGATTTTATATCTCTGGTCCAAAGAAAAGAGGAAATAGTCATAAAGAGGAAGGGGAAGGAGAGATAGCTGGGTGATGATGAGGGTAAAGAAGGGTAACAGTGTAGTTACTTTGTCTGTCTCACCAGATGCTACTTGAACTCCTTGTCATAAAGATGAGCAGGGTGAGGTAAACTATTTATGTTCAGAATAGGGTCTTCTAGTAGGGTGAACAAAGCTTCCATAAATAAATGAAGGAAAGAAAGAAGAGAAAAGAAAAGGAAGGGAAATAAGATAAAAGCATTGATGAAGATATTCTCAAAGTATTTTTCTGCTGTGTTTAAAATGGGGAGCTATGTGAAGGGAAAAGTGTGAATAGGCAAAGTGTGCCAACAGGATGCCAGCAAGGTAGATAAAACCCAAAAAGCAAAGTTTGTTTTGAACAATACTGGTGCTTGATGTTATACTATTAGTTCATCTTCTTATCCACTTTAATTCTATCATTGCAGTACTAGTTTTTAACTAACGTCCCTTTCTTGGCTTGTGTAACTTTTTTTTTCCTTTTATTATAAAGATGTGGGGTACGATTCATTGTTAGGTATACAAATGTTGATTATTCTTGTTGATGAGGTGTGCCTCCCACAGCAGTTTCCCTCAACTGCCAATCCCACCCACCCCCGACAGTTTCCCACTACTGTCAATCCTTTCCTTATAGTATTATAATTGTCCAAGATCTGCTTATGAATGAGAACATATGGTACTCTGTTCTTTGTTTCTGTGATAGATCACTGAGCATGATCGACTCTAAATCCATCCAAGTTGCTGCAAAGTCCATATGTTTGTCCTTTTTTATGGCTTCATAACATTCCATTGTGTATATGTACCACATTTTTTTCCTCCAGTCCAGCTTTGATGGGCAATATGGTCGGTTCCATGTTTTTGCTACTATGAATAGAGCTGCAACAAACATACGTATGCAGGTATCTTTTTTGTAGAATGATTTGAGTT